GCGGACGGCGCTGGCGGAGCCGGAGCGGCGAGAGCCATGGACGACGAGGAGATCGTGTCTGAGAAGCAGGCGGAGGAGAGCCACCGGCAGGACAGCGCCAACCTGCTCATCTTCATCCTGCTGCTCACCCTCACCATTCTCACCATCTGGCTCTTCAAGCACCGCCGGGCCCGCTTCCTGCACGAAACCGGCCTGGCTATGATTTATGGCAAGTGCCTCCCCCCTAAGCTGCTTCCCGGCGCTCCCCTTTCTCTGGCCCACGGCCGCTTCGCCTCCTCTCCCGGGCCCGCGCGGCCTACGTCCCGCTCCCCGGTTAATTCCTTCCATTTTCAGCCGCGCCCTCCACTCCCCCCACAGCGGTTCTCTGCCTTCCCATCCTCTTTATCTTCTACGCCCCCCGTTTCGCTACCTCCCCCCATCTCCTCTGCTTCGATCCTCATTTTCTCTGCTTTGCACCCTCCTTTGCTCGGCCAGTCCACACCTTTTTTCCACCGACCCCACCCCCTTTTTCTTTCGCACCTCCCCGCACGACTGCCTACCTAGCTCGGACCCCAGACGGTGGATGGGGAAGGGAGTGGGCGCGGCGTCTGGGATCGACCCGGGGGCTGGGGGAGGGGAAAGACAGCTGAGCAATGGGTTCCTTTGGGGTGTCAGTTTGTTGAAGGTCCACTGAAGCCGCAGTAGTACCTCTACTGCTCAAAATCGGGCGTTCTTGCAAGCCAGCGACCTGCTCCACCCTATCACCAGCTCTTGCTACGCCCTGTCATTTCTCGGCCGCGAAGGAAAACCTTGTGGCCATGTATGCCCAAGTGGAAACCCTAAGGCGTTAGAAGGCTTAGGGCATTTTTAACGACGTGCCGATTTATGTTACGGTGTTTGTAATATCTGATCTGGATACGTAATCCAGGCGTACGGAGATGAGGACAAGGAAGAGTTAAGGCTCTTGCTGGAGTGTGTGGTACTATGCGAAGACCAGGACAGCTCATTCGAACAGTAATTAGGATCACCATGCATATGCAGTAGGGCCTGACTAGCAGTGGGCATGAGGTTATCGATGGATTGTTGAATAAACTGCTTTAGCTCTTGCGTCTTACTGTGCCTTCTTTTTGAGGTTTCTTTATTTATATGTTTTGGTCATGAGGCAAGAAGAACAAATCCAACCCTGGGCTCAGAGGCATTTTGAGCTATGCTGGGCTGGAGAGGAAAAGAAGATACATATTGCTGGCTGTCGGTCTTACATGATCATGAGGGTGTATGTGGCCAGAGAGATGAGGGTGGGGTGAACAAACCTTTCTTTGTAGTACATGAGTAAAAATTGTTTTCACTAGGCATAGACTTAAAAAGGGATACACTTGTAAGGCTTTGTTTCTCAGACTTGCACATAAGTAGAAAAAACCTTGATGCAAAAAGACATTTCCGCAGGTGCCCCACCCTCCACCCCTTTCTAGTAAATACAGACTTCTGGAGAAAGATAGTTGTGTTTATCAGGAAAATGCATAAACTCGGGCTTATTTTTCATTTGTAAGGTAATAAAATTCCAAGCCTGAGTGCAGTTATCTCTGATCCCTAGATTCTTGGTATTTAGATGTACTTGGGTGCTTTTCATATATTCTAGCATTTTATTTGTAGTACCCCTTAAGCTAAATTAGCCAGATAAGCTATAAATCTCTCTAAGTGATAAATCTCTGTATAACTGTGTGATTTATTTATTCCTCAGCAACCATTTGCTATAGTCAGTCAACTATATATACTGTGCATGCAAAATACAAAGTAATAGGTGATCCAGGACTTCAAGGGACTTATCCTTATTGGGCATACGTGTCATATAAAGAAAGTAATAACACCTTACATTGGTTCGACGCCAAGCGAGTATCATAGTGACAAAACAAGGAGCCTGTTACTGATGAAAGTAGCATAGAGTGAATGGTTCAAGCTGTAAGGCTTGAGACCTGGATTGCCAGGTTTTCTGTAAAGAGCTGCAGTATGAACATTGTTGACTTTGTGGGTTGCATAGCACTCTGTATCTGTTGCCTTTTCTTCCTTTTGCCTTTTCCTCTTTACAAACCTTTAAAATGCAAAAAATTCACTCTTAGCTCTTGGGGTCACATGAACACAGACTTCTACTGCAATAGCCAATTAGCTCTGCTTTAGAGTCAGGCATGGCACACACTGCATCAGGTGTGTGATCTTAGCCTCTGACATTGTCATCTACAAATTGAAGACAATGATAGTAGTACTCTTGGGAAGAAGAAATGTTTTTCACTTAGTACTTGATCCCCCAACTAAATGCTCAATAAATGACAGCTGCACTATTTTTATTATTACTGTTACCACTTCATTTTCTTAAACCAGGTTCAGAACAGTTATTTCAATGGCTCGGTTTTGTACGGTAGGAAGCAACTATAGTATTTTTCAAAAAATCAATTAGGGACTTAGACTTGCCCTGAAAACATTTGCTATTCAGTAGCAGCTGATAACATGAACTTCCTTTAACTTGGCTGAGGTAGAGAGGTGGAATTACTGATTGCATTTCTTGATGTTTCTAAGTTAGTAAAAAGAGATAGAGTACCTTAGTGTTGGTATTTTGTGACAGGAAGAGAAGGATATCTCTTGGGGTATATAAAATACAAGAGTGTTATCTGGGCATCAGGTTTGGGAATGACTGGCCACAGCTTGGCCTTTTCTAGCCTGTCCCATTTTCTGAGGATGGGTGATCAGGACTATGGACAAATGGACTCCCAGGTTCAGCTTGAGAATAGCAGGGATTGGGTCAAAGTATTTTCAGTGCCATGGAAATTGACATTTTCCAACCCTAATTCCTCTTTCCTAATCCTGATTTACTGTTTACCTTGTCTTAAGACTCTTGCTCCATCCTACTTATCCTGTTAATATATTATTTTACAAGGCATCGTCCTTGCCCATCTAGTGACTGACTTAGTAAAGAATGGTTATTGAACATTACAGTGTGTTAGATACTGCTAGGTGCTTCGCAAGTATCATTCCATTTAAACCTAACAACCCTGTGAGATGGCTACTAATATCTTTCCCATTTTACAGATGAGGAAATTGGAGCACAGAGAGGTTAAATGACCTATCTGCAGTCATATAGCTTGTAAGTATTGAGCCAGGATTCAAACCCAATCAGTCTAGCTCAAAATCCCTATTCTCTTAGCACCTAACTGTATAGCTTCATGATGAAGAGGTAAAAACTAAGAGAGTGGGTTAGTATTAATGACCACATCAAGGGAAGAAATAGAATGTCAATAAGACATTATGTCCCCTAAGGTCACAGACTAGGACATGAGGGAACCAGAATTCATACATTTATCTGACTTCCAACTCATACTTTTTTTCCCTACACTAATATAAATGCAAAATTTCATAGGATGGAATGTGCAGGGAGATACTACTTGAAATCATTTGGGTTTGGGAGGTGGATTGTGAGGGAAAGTTATAAGAGAATGGAGACCTGGAGGAGTTAGTGGTAAGTGAGAGTGAGGAGATGAGTAGAAAAGTATAGAGACTTTTAAAATAAAAAACTCAGATTTCAACTCTGCTTTGGTTACTTAATGCCAGATGATGTTGGACAAATCCCTTGTCCCCATTTTTTCAAAGATAAAATAATGACATTTATAAGATGATGAGGCTCAAATAATTTATTATATGCAAGAACAATTAAGATGGGAATTGGCTCAAGGGCCTAAATGAAAGTATTCCTATGGATGAGAGATTTATCTTTCCTGAGAGGAGAGCTAAGGAGAAATGAGCTTATGTTGGAGTGGTTTGAAATTGAGACAGTTTATGGCAAATGGCCTCCTCCTTCTCAGAAAAGTAGGCAGTGAGATTGAGGATTTAGGAGGATAAAGGTTGGAAGAGCTGATGTAGAAAATGTGCTTGGGTACAAAGATACTCACATAATCACATGTGACACTAACCAGGGGTTCAGCAAAAGCCTTGACTTTCTGGTTTTCTTAAAGTTATATTAGCTTTCAAGGTGCAATCTTACAGCATTTTCAAAAAGTAGATACATGTTTGCATATGTGCATGCACTTATATGCTTTTTAATCTGAAGAAATTTTATTATATTTGGCCACACTTAATACCCCAATGATACTCTTCTGTATTGGTGACTATCTGAGCCTTCTAGAGTGATAAGCTGGGAAAATGGGCTGAAATCCATTAAAACAATTTCCACTGACTGAGATGCGCGCAGTGGTGGGGGCTGAGGTGAGACTGGGTTCTTTATCTGTGGAGAGGGTTTCCAGCTGCTAGTGGGTCAGAAATGCATTGGAGGGGTGTGGACTTTCTGTTTTGCCTAAGATACATGTCTGTGTTTGTATTCTTTGTTTTTTGTTACTGGTAATTTTAAATTTCATAATATTAGTACTTGCTGTGTGAGAGTCTAGAAGGTTCTGCCTTATCTCCTTAACAAAGAACTATTTTGGTGCATTTCCTCTTAGATAAAAATGACTTTGACACCATGATTAGGAATTGACCTTTTACAGAATCCCAATTAACTTGAACTGTCAAATTTCAAATGTCTTTATTCAAAGAAATTCTAATGCTTTAGATGCTTGATGCTGTGATAAAGGGATCTTGGTTTTTCCCTCCACCCCACTTCAGTAATTATTCTTGCTAGTATTTTGACTGTGAGGTGTGTGCATCAAATTTGTCTTCAGCGCTGGGCCCTCCTCCGCCATCCAGTGAGCCTAGCTATTGTAGATCCAGTGGGTGTTGTTCCTTACACAATTGAGCCTGGGGACATGGAAAGAATGTATTAGTGTTTGTAGGAACTTAACTGTGACTTTTGCACATAAACATAAGGGGACAACTTTTACTGTGCCTCTTAATTAAGAGGTCTTTAGGGGAAGTGGAGAAAAGAGTTGTTTCTGTGTCATGTAGACAGAAAGACTGCACCTGCAGCCTTTTCTCTTCCAGGTTATGTTTGTCAAACAGTTGATGCCCAGCCATCATTTTATTTTGCTTTCTAGAAGTGAGATGTTTTCAAAATGTACCTTTATTTTAAATCCAAACCTTTGTCAAAACTTTTTGGAAAGCTGTTGCTGTTGTACTGTTTGCCAATCACTGGTAACATGTGCGACCAGGTTGACTAGAAAGATCCCTCCTTCCCACTTCCTGGCCACTACTCTCATGTCCCTTATTTCTGCTTTCTCATTTCCCGCTCTGGTCTGGTTTCGCCCCCATTCTTCCACCAAGATTGTTCTCACTAAGGTCACCTATGATGCTTAGTGCCAAACGCATTGGAAACATCCTAATGTATGTCTTCCTTGACTTTGCTGGAACATTCACTAGTTTTTGTCAGTTTCTCTTCTGTTCTTCCTACTCCTTGGCTTCTCCTTAGCTCCTTCATGAGTTTTTGCTCTACTAGTCCCTCAATATTGACTATTAAATGTTTGGTCAGAACCCTGGACTTATATCCCTTTTTATTTGCTTGCCAGGTAATCTCATCTTCACTTGATTTCAACTCCCTGACTACCAGGTGTTTGTCTCCAGTTGTGAACCGCTTCCCTTTCCCCCAGATAATCTACTGTGCATATGTTACAGGTACTTCAGACTCAGCAGGTCTGACTGTGCCTATCCCCTCATAAATCTGTTTCTTGTTTCACTGCATGGCCCTGCTCAGATAAGCTTACCCACCTAGTTGCCAAGTCAGGTTAGTTTTCTCGTAGCGTTTTATCCATCTCTTCCACCCAGATGATTTAGGAACCAAATCCTTCGAAAAACCCCCCTCTCCCTGCCATGCCTCTCTTAGACGAGGCCCTACTCTTTCACTGCCTTAATGACTACAGTGGCTTTCTGGGCTTTTTGACCTTCTATGGTCTAGACTAGTCTTTTTTTTTTTTAACGATTTATTTATATATGCATACAGAACTGGGGTATTTCAGTCAATCTGCTAAACTAGTCTTTCTAAAATAGAAATCTGAGTCAAGCCCCTATGTACAATCCTTTTGCTTTGGACATAAAGTCTGAACTCTCTTTCCCAACATGCAAGGTCTTTTATGATTCACCACCTGGCAGTCTTTCACACTTCAACATTTGTTACAAACCTAGCAGTACTGAACTGCCTTAGGATACTCTGAATGGTCCTCTTCCTCCTGCCTGGAAAACCTTTTCTTGATACATGTTACTTGCTTGGATGATCCCTCTGGAAAGACTTCTGATTATGCTGCCCCCTGAGGCTTGGTTAAGTACCTACTTTATGGCACCTTGCATGCATGTATTGTATTCTAATTGTTTACTCAGTCTTTTCTCTAACTCTTTGAAGGGTAGACCTTGTTTTCCTCTCCGAACCCTGGGGGCCTACTCAGCATAGTTTGCCATTCCTGTGTATGAGAAGAATGGCTGGCTGGTTAGAAGGAAAGGAGGACAGGCCAGAAAATGTAGATAATAGTGGCTTATTGTGCATCTTAGAGTTAAGGGTTAAGTTCCCAAAAATTTGAGTTCATTTTGCCTTTGAGATTTAGCTATACAATAGAGTATTATTTGACCATTAAGAGGAATAAAATTACATGCTCTGCAACATGGATAAATGAAAGCACTATGCTGTTAAATAAGGGAGGCACAAAAAGACCATAGAATGCAGTCTGTTTATGAAATGCTTAGAATAGGCAAATCTATAGAGCAAGAATGTAAATAAGTAGTTTCAGGGGCTAGGAGTTGGGGTGGGGAATTGAGACAGTCATGGTCCTTCTTTTTGGAACAGTGGAAATGCTTTGAAGTTAGGTTAAGTCATGATTAATGTACAACTTTGGGGATATACTAAAAGCCAATTAGTTATACAGTTTAAAAGGTTAAAATTTATGGTGTGTGAGTTATGGCTTGATAAAACTTATTTCATAGTTTCATCAGTGTAGGTTTATAGTACCTAGAACATTGTGCATATTTGAATATCAACAGATGCTCCAGGTGAAATCTTAAAGATGCGTGTGCCTATCAAGACTTCTGTTGCACATTTGATTTCAATGAACACATTTTAAAATTAAAATCTGACCTTTTAGTAGTAGAAAAAAAATCAATGTACAAATGTGATTGGCTTTTCAGTTAAGTGTATTATTTGGTCAGCCATGTGCTTTAGGAATAACATAAGAAGTGTATTTAAGTCTTGAATGTTGGTGGATAGAGGTAGAAAACGTGTTTCTGACTCAGATTGGGGCACCTTGGAGTATATCCTGTTTATAACTGATTTGAAGGTATTTCCTCTTCTTTTTAATTTATTTTTACATCATTCTTCATTTTGTGTCTTTTTCTGTCTGGGTTGTAATCCCTTGGGCCCCCATGTTTATTGCTACTCTGTTTACAATAGGGAAGACTTAGAATCAACCCAAATGCCCAAAAGTAGATGACTGGATTAAAAAGATGTGGTACATATATGCAATGAAATTTCCTCTGTTTCTTACCTTCCTTACCATTTACTTACATCTTGATTTAGAAACAACATGATGTGCTGTTACTGAGGAGATATTTCACCCTCTTAACCCACTGGACTTTATGAATTTTAGACTCTAGACTTGTGAATTTAGTAGTACTTTAAAATGGAATTACATTTGGTTAACAGTTGGTTCTGAACGACAGGGGACTATCAAGAGACTTTTTGCTATCAACCCAAGGTATATGTGAGGTACAAAAGGAATGAACTCTATCCTAAAGAAACCTTTATTGCTTTTTATTTCCAGGTCTTTTAGTGGGCCTTGTGCTTCGATATGGCATTCATGTTCCAAGTGATGTAAATAATGTGACCCTGAGCTGTGAAGTGCAGTCGAGCCCCACTACTTTATTGGTGAATGTCAGTGGAAAATTTTATGAATATACGCTGAAAGGAGAGATTAGTTCACATGAACTCAATAATGTTCAAGATAATGAAATGCTTAGAAAGGTAAGTTTTTTTTTTTAATGAAAATGTCATAGTTTATTAGCGCCTCATTTTTTTCTTATACTTATGTTGCTTGGAGCTTGCTGAACTTCTTAAACTCTTGGGTGATAGCTTTCATTTGTTTAGGAAAATTATTGCCCATTATATCTTCAAATATCACTTATCTCATTCTCTTGCTTCCCCTTTTTTTTGATTCTACTAATATTGAGGTTAAATAGTTTGACTGTGTTCTTCAAACCCCTTAAACTATTTTTATTCATTCATTTCAATTTCTGTTGACTTGCCTTTGAGTTCATTAATATTATCTAGTGTTTACAATTTAATTCTAAACCATTCCAGTGAGTCTTTTCTTTTTTTTTAATTGAAAGGTAAGTTCTTAGTTAAAGGGAATCATTGGATTTTTAAAAAGTGTGTAACATGGTAAAATGATTCAGGGGAAAAGTCAATTGTGAAGTTTTAATGATATTTAAAATAATTAGCCCTTTAAAATGGAGTAAAACCTCAATGAGGTAATATAATACTAAGGAAACGGGCATGTTTATACACTTTATTTTCTAAACAAGGCAAAGTATTATAACCCTTTTTGTTTCATTCTGCGATGTTTACAGTTGTAATAAGTGGTGACCAGTATTAAGTTATGCAGAGTTTTTAAGTATTCACAGAGTTTTATAATACTTCAATACATTGGGTTTATTTGATAGTACTGAAAATATTCCATCAAATTTTTTTCTTGCCTATATTGAGCACATTTTAATCTTTCTTTGATTCATAATCTGACATAAAGTTAGGGGCCTCAAGTCTGAGTAACACCTGGTTGCCAGGCCATGCAGGAAGCTTCATGTAGGAGGTGGATTTCAGTCTTACTGGTTCCTAGAGGGCCTCTGGAGCTGCTTTCTCTTGTCCCCTCAGATTCTAGTATGAAGATTGCAGAGCCTCTTTGCTCATGTCTCTCTTTTCTCTTTTCCTTGGCCACCTGCCCCCCGACAGCCTCCCCCAACCACTTGTTATCTTCAATGGCAGGACTTGACTTTCACAGCTACTTGGGTTTTTTCCTGACCATCTTTAATGCTTTTTAAAATTTCCTGTGAACTTAGTTTACTCTGCAGCCAGAGTTCTTTCCACCTATGGAAAATTCCAAGTCCTTAGAAGTTCTAGTAAGTGAAATTTTAGTACGGAGATGTGTAGCTCTGTGTGTTCATGTCAAGTCCTACTATAGCCTAATGAATAGAAGGGGGGTGTCTGAATTATTAGAGCAAATAGGGCTTAAAAAATGGGCTGTCAGGACTAGAAGTCTGAGTTGTACACACATTTTTTTTTTAAAGATTTATTTATTTATACATACAGAACTGGGATACAGGCCAGAGATGCAGGGTGGTGAGAGGATTCACCAGAGACAGAGTGGGGAGCAGAACAGGCAGATGGACGAAGTACACTGCTGAGGGGAGCAGCGGGCGGGTCAGGAGAGGTCTGCCACCCCATGTGGTCACCTCCGGGGCAGGCGGGGATCAAACTCATGCTGCAGTGGCTTTAGCTTCTTAGTGCTGTGCTTTAACCCGCTGCGCCACCAGGGAGGGCCTGTACACACATTTTTAACCTTAATATTATGTCTTACATCTTTATAGATGTCATCAATGCATGAAATCTGTTTTCTCTTTCCAACAGTCATGCCATGTCCCCAGATTTTTGCATTACCAGTTTGGGTTCTTTTTATTTAAAGTAATGACATCTTCTTAAGTTTTTTTTTTAATATAGTAATTTAGCCTACTTTCTATAACTAAATGTTCCCAAACTACCACCTAGTCTTTTGTTTGAGAAGTGGGGTACCAGCTATCCTCTATACAATATTTTCTAGTAAGCATAGTACCTGTCACCAGTTCAACATTTACTTTTTTTCCCTTTTTGATACTTAATAAGAGGTCTTCTGAGGGAATTCATCTAAAAGAACTCTTTATCTTAACAGGTTACTTTTGATCCAGAAGTGTTTTTCAACATATTACTTCCTCCTATCATATTTTATGCAGGATATAGTCTGAAAAGGGTAAGTACTTTTATATTTTATGTACTCGGAACAACCTTAACCTTCATGGGCCTAGAAATAATTAACACTTAAGTGATAGGCAGTTCTTCCCCAGTTCCTTTCCCTCCTCCTTTTTAGGTGCTGATATTTCTGCCTGGTACCATTATTTCCCTCTTATTTCTTTTAATGAATAATGCATTTCATATTAGCATAGCACACTGGAATGGAAGACCTTTTCTTCTTCCAATAATTGGTAAGCATTGTAACATAGTACAACTTTTTTTCTTTTTTGTCAGAGACATTTCTTTCGAAACCTTGGGTCTATCCTAGCATATGCCTTCCTTGGAACAGCAATTTCTTGTTTTGTAATCGGGTAAGTATTTAAAGCTTAAAAACCTTTTAGCCTGCAAATTATAATTTTTAAATAATAAGCATATTTGATTTATGCAGTACTGTATTACTGAATGTGTTTAAGGACTTTTGCAGTAAATTGTATTCACATAGATGTAAGTTGAATTCTCATTAAGGCCAAACTATTACCTACCCTACTTAAAAAACATAGATTAACTCTGGGATTAGTCACAAAGTACTGCATGTTTTGATCCTTAACTTTAATCTAACTTCTTCAGCAGTTGATGTCTTTTTTAAAGTAGAAATGTGCTTACTGAACAGGTCCATAATGTACGGCTGTGTGATGTTGATGAAAGTGACCAGTCAACTTGCAGGAGATTTTTACTTCACAGATTGCTTGCTTTTCGGTGCCATTGTCTCAGCAACAGACCCAGGTATGTTTTTCGTGCTCCTGCAGCTGACCTGTGTAAGAACTAGTACTAGTACTTTGCTGTCAGAGCACATGTGGACAGGTCTTCTTTCTTTTACATTTTAAAAGGACAAGTTTATAAGGAAAAGGAGAAGAGGCACTGCATGGCCACAGGTGGGCAGGAGAGCTGCCCCTATTTTTCTTTTTGCTTCTTCTTTATTACATTTGCCTCTGCCTGGTCTACAATTTGTTGTTTAGATAAAGGCTCTGAGGTATTTTCTTCAGAATTTGAGGTTGGTGTCTTTCTCTGGTGCTTGGCTATAGGAGAAGATGAACTAGATCAATTAAAATGGGTAGTAATTATACACTTCCTTGCAAGCTTCTAGAAAACCAGTTCCCTCAATATCTTCTGTTTTCATTCAGCTTGTTACATATAAGAGTAAGAAAGAAAGAGTTTAAATGATTGTCAGGAGGTTGGTGTCTCCTGTGACCGTGACTTAGACTTATAACAGCCTCCTTGGTAGGCTTTAATATACATTGAAAATTTGGTTTAATAAAATCGACCTTATGATAATATAAAAGTTTTACTGTTTGAGAATGAATTTGTTCGTACTGAGTTAGGTTTTAGGTTTCCTAATATAGTGTTGATGAAGTGAACAGCTATGTCCAAATGAGGAAATTAGGGAACACTTAGGCTGAAGAGGTAGGATAGGAGCATAGGTAGATGGATGGAAGTTTTTAAACTGAGGGTGGAATTTTTTTTTTTTACTAGACTGTAGCCCTTTGTCGAGTTTTGTTCTGTTTTACGTCCTGACCTTGAAAGTTAATCATGTCCTTTATTTGTCATCCGGCACAATCAGAGGTTCTCTGAGTTCCTGCACTAATTCTCAGAACACGGGGCATTGTACACAGTAGAATATGTTCCATGCTCTGTAAGAGATGATTTTAAAAGATTAGGGTCCATTTGTGAAAAGCATTTGTGCAGTTTAGTATTTTCAGGGCTGCCCCTCACTGTTTGTAGTTGCCCCCCTCACCAGATGAGGATGGGATGATTTGACAGGAACCTCTGGTCTGGCTTTTCTGCTCCTTGACCTTTCAAAGCCTGCAAAACATGTGAGCTAGTCACACTGGCTAAGTTACTTCAACCTTCTGGTTTTGTTTAGGTCAGAGTATTGTCTGGCTGGCTCAACTAAACATCTTTTGCTTAATATAAAGTGGAACCGTTCTGTGACTTCTGACTTATATAGACATTGGCAACAATGCCACCTTTCGGCAAATGTTCACTTGATAGAAGGGTGGCTATCGGTTAATTTTCTTTTCAGAATTTTGTTAGCATTGACCCCCACCCTCCTTTTCTCCTTCTCTTGGTAAACTTTGGTGTGGGTATTATTCCAAGTGACATGCTTTTGTTGTAGAAACTGTATCTTCTAAAATGAAGTTTCCTGGCTTCTTGTTGTTCTTGTTGGCATTTGAAGAGGCTCTTCCCTTTCTGGTTAGATAATAATCTTTCTTGCCTCCTTGGCTTTTTTTAGGAAGTGAGCTATATGATTCAGCAATTAATGTTACAACATAATTTTAATCTCATCTGATTCTCTAAAAATTTTCCTATAATTGTTTACTGAAAGTTTTTTTCCCTTCTTCTCAAGCTATAATAGCCTGATAGTTGGCATCTTATTAAAGTTAAATATAGCAGTTATAATTCTGGTCATAAATTTTATTCCAACCAAAAACCATCTTGTGTTTTCATTTCCTACTGTCTTTGCTAAATGGGTGTGCTTAAAATTTACACATCAAATAGAAGTGTCTTGTAAGACTCCCAGTAAAAAATGAAGTTTGCAGCAGAAAATGCTTTTCATGATATTCTTCTACATCAGAGATTAATGATTACCTGGTCTGTAAGAAATTCTGAATATATTTTTGATGGAAAAGAAATGTACCAACAAGATTATTAGCATTTGCATGAAGAAAGTAGGCCAACTTGAAGTTCATTTTCAGTTGTTTTTAAGAGAGGAAGGAGATGTTGCAGGTTCACAATTAAGGAAAAGAAAAATTTTGATATAAAATTACCAAATCATTAATATGGTAAGGGAATGTTTATTAGGATAGAATTCTAAGAGGAAGAAATACATTTCTAAAAAACAGTTATAATTCTTTGTGAAGGGGTATGTATTATATTTGTAATGTCTAACTATTCCTGACTTCTGTTCTACTTGCTAGTGACTGTACTTGCCATATTCCACGAGCTTCAAGTTGATGTTGAACTCTATGCTCTTCTTTTTGGTGAAAGTGTCCTCAATGATGCTGTTGCCATAGTGCTGTCCTCGTAAGTGTTTGTTTTCTTATTATATTCTGTATATTGAATGTTAGGGTACCAGGAACTGAAAGTCACTGAATGAGCATATTATGAATGAAAACATTTGAAAGAATGAGATGTGGTTTTATTTCTTAAAGAAATACATACTTACATTGTTAGATAACATGGAAAGCACAGGGAAGTGAGCATAAGGGAGAAAGAAAATGTTTTCCTAACATCTAAGGACAGTTACTATGAGCATTATAGGACATTTCCTTTTTCTCTTTTCTGAGATATTTTGTATTTGTAGTGTGCTTATAATTTTGTATTCCATGTTAGCATTTAAGCATAATTTTTAAGCCTTTAAACATAACGTTAAACATTTGCATTAAACACAAATGTTAACATGTACAGTTGACTTTTTAAAGTAAATTTAAGTTGTTGAATAGATAATATAGGCACATGGTTCAAAAATTAAAACTGAAAGTAAAGGTGAACACTAACGAGTCTCCTAATTACTGTCCTCACATACTGGCCTCCCACCATTTATAGGTGACCATTTTATTGGTGTCTTATGCATCCTGGAATATGTATATGTGAATAAATATTCTGATTGGGCTCTCATTTCTTATTTTAAAAGTAGCATGTTATGTGTTCTATACCTAGCTTTCTTTCACATAAACTATATTCTGGTGATTTTTCCATATCACATCAAAGAGTTTCTTGGTGGTGGATGTGGTATGATAGGCATCTGAGGAGGTGTGATTGTGTGCCTCTGAATCATATGCAGCCTTGTAAAGCAATGTTGCCCCAATAAGGAAACATCTATGATCAAATACACAAAAAATCCCCAGAGTTTCTCATTCCTTGTAGCTACACAGTATTCTGTATATTGTACTAGAAACTGCACTATAGTTTATTTGATCTGTCTTCTATAGCTAGAAACGTACATAACTTTTTAATCCTTTGCTATCCCGAATAATACTGTACTGTTTAATCATGAACTTACCTGTTTTGTACATGCATAGGTATATTGGTAGGAAAAAGTGGGTAAAAAGGTAAATACATTTGTAATTTTGCTACACATTGCTAAATTCCCTGTCAAAGGGATTATGCCATTTTGTACTTTAGCCGCTAAATCTTGGAAGTGCCTGTTTCTTCATAGCTTTGCCAATAGACTATTTGTCAAACTTTTATTTTGCCAATTTGATCATTGAGAAATATCTCATTATAGTTTAGTTTGCATTTCTCTTATTTAGCAGTCATTTCAGAAACATCTTAACTTTTAGTAGTATTATGTCATATACTTTTTATGACATCTTTTGAAATTAATACTTCTATATAATTGTAAAAATAAATATACATGTTAGAAGGTATTTGCAATGAGAGAATGGATTTGAACCTGAGAAAGTCACGCTAACCCACTCCTACTAAGCAAATGTCTAAGTTATACTGTTGATTTTCTCCCATTCCAGAACTTTCTGAGAAGTGAAAGCTTTTCATGATTTCTCTTTATTTTTATTTCTCTCCTTGATTTCAACTTTATTAGCTATAAAGAGTAGTCAGTCCCTGACTCTGGTTTCCCTTACAGCAAACTGGAAAATTATCCTTTCTGATTATAACAACAATCTCTTAAACAGCATGTGTGAATATATGCTAAAGATCAAATCCCATTTTGTGAGTTCATTGTATGTAGATTCTATTCCCCTCTGCCAAAATGCCAGAATTTTTTTAGCTGTCCACAACTCATACATTTTAAGTAACAAAGCCTAACAGCTAGACCTGATATTGAAATTGGGATGTGTGCACCTTTAGTAATGATAGGTGCAAATTGAAAGCTGTATCTTCTTTGAAGGGGAGAAGAACTGGACAGTGGTTGTTGAACCACTACAGAGGTTGTTGAAGTTTTCAGTACACAGGCACATACATGCTCACCAGTGCCACCAGATGAAGAGAACAACGTACAAGACTGTTCCTTTTAGCACCAATCCTGGATGATACCATCTTAGATAATCATTCTGTTACTAGTCATTTTACAATAGGTGCTCTTTCCTCACTGTCCTAAAGGATTAAGAGTCACACAGATCTCTATTCTGCTCTATCTTAAACTGCTATGCCCTGTGCCTTAGTTTTCCCATTCATGAGGTTAACATTTTCTGCAGCTTTTCTAAGAACACTTAAGTAGGGCTGAAGGGGAAAAAATAACTCTTTGAAAAATTGTGAGCTTGGGATGTCCATATCAGTTTCTAAACTGGTAAAGAATAAATGTGTTAGACACTGAATTTTCCATAACACTTCTCACAAATAGCCATGCCCATCCGTCTGTGCAGCCTGCAAGAACTGGCCTTGTAAACTGGCCTTGCAGAGAACTCTTCCCTCAGTTCTTTTTTGTTGTTTAAATTGATTTATTTATGCATACAAGAGCTGGGGTTTAGGCCAGAGGTGTGGAGAACTGAGAGGATTCACCAGAGACAGAGTGGGGAGCAGAACAGGCAAATCTATTGAAATGCACGACTGAGGGGAGCAGCAGGTGAGATAGGAGAGTTCTGTTGTGCCATGTGGGTCAGCTCCCTGGCTGGGGATAGAACTCCAGATAGCTTCATAGTGCTGAGACTTAACCCCTTCACCACCAGGGAGGCCCCTCTCCGTTCTTTTAGCAATGTACCTTTCTAGATTCATCAAAGATAAGTTAATTTACAATGTAGTCTCATAGAAATCTGGTGGGGAAGGACTGTATCTAGAGAGTATCACATCAGGGAAGTGGTTAACTGTGTAAATGTCTTAATAAATAAGTTCCTACTCAAAAGCTGACAAGAATCTCGCTGACTCTGGGAGGTTCCTAGCTGGTGAGCTTGGTGATCCATTTTTCTTCATCTTTATCTGCCTTTTTCAAATATATTGGTAGAAATAGTGCATTTTGTATTGTGTTCTGTTCTGTTATGATTATGATATTCTGATGTGTGTATTCTATATAAGCAACCTTGTATAAAGGTAGAACCACCCCTTTTTGAAAGAGCTTTGTTTGGCACTTGACATGCCAAGGCAACCCTACTTGAAATTTGTGTTGGAAGCCTTGTTTTTACTTTAATCTGGTGAGGGTGAAGTGACATTGGTTCCCTTATACATTGCTTTAGAGGTAGATCTATATGTACTGATAGAGGGTAGTGTGTATAGATACATACAGTTAGAGAAGGATCTAAGTTGCATAGTATTCTGCTGTATGACTATACCATAATTAGCCTGGAGACCCAAATTCATATTAGTTTAAAAGGTGGTTTTTTTTTTTTTGGTCATTCATATTTTATGAAAGAGGAATTCCAGTGAGTAAATAAACACAAGAGACAAACTGTACTTTTTAACTTTACTGGTTAACAGAAATATACATGCTAAAATGACTGGCCATTTTTACCTATTTAGCTAACTTGGAAAAAATGTGAATGAAATAGTTACTTCTGGTAAAGTCATTTTTTTTAAAAGATTTATTTTATTTGTGCATACAGAACTGGGGTACAGGCCAGAGATGCAGGGGCAGTGAGAGGATTCACCAGAGACAGAGTAGGGAGCAGAACATGCAGATCGACGAAGCACACTGCTGAGGGGAGCAGCGGGCGGGTCAGGAGAGGTCTGCCGCGCCCTGTGGTCACCTCCGGGCCAGGTGGGATCGAACTCATGCTGCAGTGGCTTTAGCTTCTTAGTGCTGTGCTTTAACCTTCTGTGCCACCAGGGTGCGCCGGTAAAGTCATTCTTAACTGGGTACAGTTGTGTCCCCTCAGGGGACGTTTGGGTTGGTGAATGAGAGAGATGATTGCCACTGGCCTCTCGTAAGTAGATGTCAGGGTGCTGCTGAACATCCTTCAATACACAGAACATATCCACCCGCCAATAATTATATGGTCTCACATATCAGTGATGCTAGGTTGAGAAACCCAGCTCATAAGATCAGATCACTTATACATTGTTGGTGGAATCACCTAGTTTTTTGTATTTTACATTTTGTCATTATGCTAATGAAATTAATACATGTTTGTGACAAAAATTCAAAGTATTCAACTTAGTACACAATTTCTGAAATTTCAGCTCTCAGAAATAACCACTCTCAGGGTTTTCCTCTCAACTTCATTTGGGTATTGACATACATCTAAATATGTTAAGAATTCTCAAACCAAAAAGGGCATGGCACTATGTATACTTTTCTGTAACTTGCTTGTTTCACTTGGACGTTGGCCAGTATTACCTCTACTACCCATGTATGGATGCTCTCCAAATCTATCTCTCTAGTCTCCTATAGATTAATATTTGGTGTTTCCTAATACATCTCATGTTGGTAACACTGCATTGAGCAAAAATGTATGTAAATCTCTGAATCCTCATGAGTATATTTTTTCAATATTGTTATTTTACTTTTTACTCATTGATTGTAATTTGTTCTAAATACAAAAGTAATATATGCTCAATAGGAAAAATTTAAAAATCAGAAAAATACAGAAAGCCACAAATACACACTAACAGTAAATTCCTTACTTTTCAGGATCAGTCTCTGTTCTGCAGAGGAAAAACATTGACCTGTATCTTGGGGAGAGTATTTCTAGAAGATATTTTCTAGAAGTAGTCTTTTAAGATCAAGATGATGGCCATTAAAAAATTGAGAGATACAGTTCCCTCCAAAGATATAATACAACTTTTTTTTAAAACAGTTGAGCAAAATGTAAAAGGAGCTGTAGATACAGTAATACCCTCTTTCTGAGAATGTAGCCCAATACTGCAAAGTATGTGAAAAGCACAAAACAGATGGTTTTTCACACTATTATTTTTAGTAGCAGAACTATCAGATGCAATTCTTAGATGTCTAAAAGTGGGGAAATGGTTGAATAGATTGCTATATCCATTTGGACCATTTTTGAAATTTTAAAATTTAGAGAGACCATGTATTTCTTATGTTGTCAGGTGAAGGAACAGAATTCAAAACCATGTGTTTGCTAGTACAACTAAACGTGAAATAGCATTCTACAGTGTAACCAAAAGGGGAAAGAAATTCAAAAGAAAATATAGAAGAGTAGTTGAGGTTTTCTGAACATTCTGTTACCTTCAGGATTTGAAACAAAAGTATTCATGAAAATGTTGCCTCCAGATAAAATGTTGATTAATGTGGAAAAGATTAATTGAGATTTCAATCCAGAGGACAGTCTTTGACTGAAAAAGAAAAACTTCTTGTTCATTTTCAGCCCATGCTTTCCATGTGTTCTTGTACATTTTGGGGGATTAAAGTATTTTATAATGATGACTGTGAATCTTGACTTTAAATGAAGTAATCTGGGGAACAGCCTCAGGAAGCATAATTTTGTTTTAGCCAGTATTTTGAAAACTACTGCCAGGAAGAAAAAGAAGATTATACTAGCAATAGCCTTTCTTTTTCCAGCCAGCTGCTGTAGATTAATGTAAAAACATGGTCAGATCTCATTTGTAGTGGTGGGACTCTTTATGTGCAGGAAGGATAGCCCAGCATTAAAGGTCATTTCATAGTTACTAAAACAGTCTCAGATCTACTGGTCCCAAAATGATCTGGTCGCTTTGAATATTTAAACATAACTATTTAAAATTTTCTCTTTAGGTTGAGACCCAGAAATCTCTCTGAGCCATTACCAGAAAGTAATGTGAAGGCTGTAACTCATTAAAATTACGAAATTTTAGTTTAGTCTTAAATTTTGTTTTTGGTTTGTTTTTCTTTTAATTTAGCCAGGGAGGTGTGAAAAGAACTGAGCCTATCTGGTATATAGCAAATCCCGCCCCCTTTTTTTTTTCCCACCTGAACCAGAGAAAACATTGCAGTATCCACAGGGAGAATTCATTATATTCTGAGGACTGTGTTTTTTCTCATCCTTTTCTTTGACATGATTTGTGTGATGCCTTTGAGTCTGGACTTTTTATAAAAACATGGTACTCAGCTGAGCTGAGAAGTAATTTAGTAACCATGAGCACTCTTGCCACCGGTCACTCACAACAGCAGTTTTCTCAGCCATTTCTATTTCCTGGTGTAACTTTCAAAAGAAGTAGTTTAAAAACAGGATTGGACGGTGAGTTTAAGATGGAGAGTGTCTCCTGTAATTGCATGTCCTGGCCTTTGACAGACTGACTTTCTTTCAGAAGTTCGTGGTGGAGTATTCTGCTGGGTGTGCTAAATGTTCTGTTGAGGGGATTCTGCTTCCTTGGAACATCTTTCAAGCCATTTTTCCTGTAAAAGTTCATTTCAGTGAGTGAATAGATTAAGGCGTCAGGCACTTTCTGACTGGGTTGAGTATTCTTTATATTCTTCTCCTGGAAATAAGTGGAATTTTTCATTAGTTTGTTCACATTGGTACATTAGGGTGTTCAGGCATTCAGTACTAGTGAGTCTTAAACAACCACACACACACAAATGGTCCTGCTCAGTATCTTTGAGAATGGAAGAAACAAGGCTTGGTACAAATTTCAGAGAAGATGTAAAATATCTATTTCCTGAAAATGTCATTTTAAGTAAAAGCTTGAATTTGCTTCTGGAGCCACTGCAGATTTTGTTGGATAACCTTTTGTCCTTATTTTGGCATGCCACACCCAAAGATTTTTATTTCCACCCCCCCCATTTCATCTTTCAAGCTCTGTGCTAGAAAATGTTTTTATTTAATTATTTTATTGGGGTTCTTTTGGTCGATAATATCTTCAAAGTAAAAGTTGCTAGGGGAAAATAAAGCCGTCTCTCTCTTGTAGTTCGATCGTGGCATACCAACCTGCCGGAGACAACAGCCACACCTTTGATGTCACCGCCATGTTCAAATCTATAGGTATTTTCCTTGGGATCTTCAGTGGATCTTTTGCCATGGGAGCTGCCACAGGCGTGGTGACAGCATTAATATCCTTTTATTGCATTTGTCTTTCCTTGTTAACTTAAAGAAGTTCTTGAATGCTGAACTCCAGATCTCTCCTAGTTCCCTGTTTGGGATTGGTTCTAGTTATTAACCTTGTTACTGTGTAGTTGGTTGGAAAACAACAGAGAATCATCTTTACCAATAAATGAATAAACCGCTTTCATTGTTTTTGCATAAGGCTCCATACCTCAAACATTTGCTTAAAAAATATATAGTTAAGACACAGTGACCCTTTGGGGTGAGTTTAAAGCTGTAGACTAAAGTGATATAAAGGTAGAGCCACTCCATGCTCTGTGTCACTGCTCAGCCTGGCAGTTTTGCTTTTTGTTCAATAGGATGAAATATGGTTCTGAGTAGGATGGATGGGAGGTGATCTCGGCTTTCACCGATTTTAATCATCTGATTTAGATTGGACTGGGAGGCCAAAGGACCTCAATTGTAGCCCTGACACTGCCACTACTTTGCTGTTAGAAGTACTTGGCAAGTCATTCTTGTATCCATTCAAAAGCCATTTCTTGATGGCTGCTGTGTGCTGGCAGGTGTGCTTTGGGTAGGGAAGGAACATTAACTGCACTTCCTGGCACCTCAGTGTGGCAAGGTGGAAGGTGGGGACAGTGTGGGAAGGTGAGTGGGACTGGATGATCTCTAGAGCTCTGCCAACTCTAAAACTTCTGAGATACTTTAATAGTGGGTTTTTGGAAATGTTATGATGCATTTTTGCTTGAAAAACAGAAAAAAATATATCATGACTTTTCCAACAACCCAATAAAAATAATTTCTGAGCCTCTAGGTTTACTATAGTTCAGCTTTGTACCAAAAGAACTTGTCTTGTGGCTTTTTATAGGTGAACTCAGGCATAAAGGGACAGTAATGAGAGCTTTGAATGAGCAGGACAGATAGTATCTCTTCCCCATTACAAGGTCCTTCACTGTGAGCCTTATATCTTGTTATCTTTTTGTTATAGTGCACATTCACTGAAGTGAATCTAGATTCCAGCCTGAGATTTGTCACAGTTGCAAAGTTCCCTTCCACTGGCAATAAGCCAAATACTTTTTAGATTAGCATGAGTGATGTGCCTGTTTCTTCACCTGAGAATTCTTCACTACACAGAGTTGTTTGAGGATCAAATAAATGTGAAACCTCACACACTTATTTTTTTCATATGCTCAAGTTTTATTGGCTTTAAAAAAATAATATACTAGTTTATTTTTATATCATTTTGTGCCCTTTTCCATCTCAGTTGTAACCATGTGGGCTTCCCATCACCATATCACCCATAATGCACATGATATTTTTAATCAGTGTAAACTGCTGCAGTTGTGGGATTTCTGTCTTGCTTTGGGTAACAAATCATAGGCAGAGTTGGCATGTTGTATGACTGGTGGCTCCCATAGGCTGCTGGGTGACTAAGCCAGAAGACTGCCTTATGGAAAGGACAACTGCTGGCTCCTCAGTAAAAGCTCTTGTTAAGAGTTTCTTTACTCTGGTGCCTCCTTTCTCTGTGACTGGTGTCAGAGAGGCCAGAGAACTGCCCTTCTCTCTTCCTGGTTGACTTGCTCTGACCTTTTCTCTGGTCACACATCTGTGTTAAATGCTTTCGTTACCAACCTTGACAGACTTACGTGACAAAGTTCACCAAATTGCGTGAGTTCCAGCTGTTGGAGACAGGCTTGTTCTTCTTGATGTCCTGGAGTACCTTCCTCCTGGCTGAGGCATGGGGCTTCACAGGTAGGCCACCTTCTCCTTAGAGTGAGTGACTTTGCCCATCATTTTTTCTATGAGTAGATTAAACCCTGGCACTATTTGAAGACACTGGTTAAGGTTGGGATTTTGAATTTATGCTATCACTTTAGTGTATAGAAAAGATTTTCAATGAAAGGGGTTCTTCTTAGCAAAGTCACATCTGGAAATTTCAGCACAAAGTGTAGAATCAATTTGTGTAGCATTAAAACCTTAGTAGCAAAGTCGGATCCCTCCTTTCATATGAACTGGGAACCTTTGTCTTTGTAGGTGTCGTTGCAGTATTGTTTTGTGGCATCACACAGGCCCATTACACATATAATAATTTGTCCACGGAGTCTCAGCATAGAACTAAACAGGTAAGTAAAACTTCATAGTTTGTGAATAAACTTTTCCTTCTTACAGTGGAGCAGAATTTTTATTTTACTAAAAATACAATCTGATCTGTTCAAGATGGTATCTTTTCAGTTTCTCTTGACTCAAAGAACAGGTAGACCTGGTGGGCTGACAGGTGGCAGCTTTAAGGGTCAAGATAAGTCAGCAGAATAGCCAGGACTACTATTACTGTGCTCAGTCAATTAGCTTCCTTTCCTTGTTTTGCAAATCTAATGGCTTTTAAGAAGAACATTCTGGAAATTCACTCAGGTCTGACTGGACCTACAGGCATACCTCATCGTATTGTGCTTTGCTCTATTACAGTTTGCAGGTACAGCATTTTTTATGACTCTCCACCTGCCAAAAGATAACAACTCACTGAAGGCTTAGATGATAATTAGCATTTTTTAGCAGTGACGTATTTTTTAATTAAGATGTACATTGTTTTTAGACGCAATGCTACTGTACACTTAATAGACACACAGCATAGTGAACATTACTTCTGTATGCACTGGGGAATCTACAACTCATGTGGCCAGCTTTAGTGCACTGTTCATTCAATAGTGGTGGTCTCTGAACCACACCACTGCATCTCAGAAGTCTGCCTGTCCCTCTGGGTACTCTAAATAAGATTAACTTCTGATAGGACTAGAACAGCTGCTAGGAGATATAGAGAACATTTGCTTCCTTCATCAAACACTGAAGTTTCTAGCTCAAGGGATGGCAATTACATCAGTGCTTAAGCTTCATTTGGTACCAGATAGGCAGTTGTTCAGAAAGCCTGGAGAAATTATAAAGGAATTTGGTGTGGTGTGACACCCTCCAGCTGAATGAGACATATGGGCCAACACATGGACAGTATGTATACTCTGAGATGGAATGACTGCATGCTTGATTATTGAGGAATAGAAGCTTTAGGTTTTGCCTAATGAGTAGAGCTCAGTGGCATTAATCTGAAAAGAACTCATGATAGCAAGAGCAAAGGTACTTTTCTTTTTCTTCTTTCTTCTGGTGCCACATATGTTGTATATGACCTACGCTTTTTCAGATACTTCAGAAGAGACTCATCATGTTGGGATTATAGATTTTTGTTAGCAATTCATTCAGTGCAACAAGTATAGAGAACATCAGCTGGAGGTTAGCAATCTAGGCTGGGGTTGGGGAATAAACAAACATGGTGAGAGGCATGTTAAGGTGCTATCAAATAGGACACTGAAGGTCTAGCACATAGGAAATTTGAAGTGCCTGTTTCATTATGATAATACACATGTTTTCAAATTATGTAACCTTATTTACTACACTAACTAACTTTTTATAATTTTGTTTCAGTTGTTTGAGCTTCTCAATTTCTTGGCAGAAAATTTCATCTTTTCCTACATGGGGTTGACACTCTTCACCTTCCAGAACCATGTCTTTAACCCAACATTCGTCGTAGGAGCTTTTGTATCCTTTATTATGTGTTCTATTTTGAAAAGTTTTAAAAATTGATACTCACGTGTGTTTTTGCAGGTGTGGTTGATAAGAATGTATTTATTCTATTTTCATTTTTGTTTATTGCAAAAATGATGGCAGATTGAAGTAACAGGAAAAAAAGGCTCCTCTCATTCTGCCAATTCCCAAAACTAAAACCGCCTCTAGTCCTAAAAGGAAGAAGAGTCAGGTCTGGGGAAGAGTATGTAGTCTGCGTCACCGGGCGGTGGGGAGATGATGGGCAGTCACATTTCTCTCCCTCGCCCCATCTCCAGCTGAGCTTAACAGGCCACTAAATGGGTGAAGTAGAGTCCAGGAAAGAGAGCAATCAGCAGTAGCCTTGGCCTTGTACGAGGGCAGGAGGAGATGGAATCCAGAGCGTGTGGGGAGGGTTGGCCTTCAGTGGGAGTAGGCATAGCCCCACCATTGTTCCCAGAGAGGGCAGGGTGTGTGGCCATGAAGATACATTTGTAAGAAAGAAACTTTACCCATGGCTTCTGGCTTTATCGCTAGAGTAGGAATTGATGTTTGCTGAGCGAGATAGCAGGAGACCTGTCACCTATTGGGTAACAAATTAACACTAAAATTTGCAGCTAAAACAACAAATGTGTTATCTCGAGCAATTACTGAGGGTCAGGAATCCAGGAAGAGCCTAGCAGGGAGGTTCTGCCTCCTCCAGGACTTCTAGGAAGTTGCAGTCACCTCTGAGGAGACTTGCCTGGGACTGGTGGACCCACCACAACTCACTTATATGGCTGTTGGCTGCAGGCTTCTCTTCCTCCCTTGGGCATTTCCTTGGGGCAGCTCACAGCATAGCTTCCCCTGGGCCAGGGGAGGGGCTAACTCAGAGAGCACAGGTGGAAGCCCAAGTGCTTTTGTTGGTCACAGCACCCAGCCCTGGCACACTATGAGCAGGGGCTACACAAGGGTGCGACTGCCAGGAGGCTGGGGCCATTGGGAGCCATCTTAGAGACCGGCTTCCACAGTGATAGGAGTTGGAGGACAAGGTTTGCAAATTGTTGCTATAGTGAATGGGAGAATGAGTTGACCAAGGATGCAGTAAGGTTACATAGAAGTGTTGGGGGACCCACTTGAGCTTGAGGATTGGGTATTACCAGTAGAAACTGTCTGCCCTGCTGTATGACTTTCTCCTGAAGTATTTAAGGTGGAAGCTTGGAGAAAATAGGTAGTTGAGCTCCTCAGGTTTGAGGTTCTCTCACTTGGGGCCGTGAAAGCACAGAGAGAGGTGAGTGAATGTAGGGTATTGGAAAGAGTACTGCTAAGATGTGGTGGAGAAGAAAAGTTAAGAAGGGTGAGGACTGTTGGAGGAAAAAGTGGAGGCATCTTGGGACAGGTGGAAGAATGATCCAAATGGAAGAGAGAAACAAAACGTGGAAGGAGAGACTTGTGTGCTCAGAGAGGGCGTGTGAATCAGTGATTTTTCTAAGGGGATATTTTTAAAAGATTTATTTATGCAAACAAGAGCTGCAGTACAGGGAAGAGGTGCAGGGGGGTGAGAAGACTCACCAGAGGCAGAGTGGGGAGCAGAACAGGCAGATCTACTGAGATACACTGCTGAGGGGAGCAGCAGGCGAGACAGGAGAGGTCTGCTGAGCCTTGTGGTCAGCTCCCTGGCCGGGTATCGAACATGTGCTGCAGTGGCTAGCGACAGCTTCATAGTGCTGAGACTTAACCCCTGCACCCCAGGGACGTCCAGCAGAATTTTTTTTTAATTAAAACTCTAAGTAAGATCTTTGTTGGGTACTACCAAAATGCCATTCTGCAGAATCTGAGTGTTCTGGGGATGAACTTCAGGGGGAAAATATAAAGGCCTGTTAAGAAGCAAGCGTCCTTAGAGGGAAGACTCCAGTGAGATCTGTTAACTTCACACCCTGCTAGTTTCAGAAAAGTATTTGAGCAGTCATTGGCTTAATCCTCTATGCTAATCTGGAAATAACGCTAAGTGTTCTCTTTGAGTGTCTGAGCCTGGTAGGAAATGAAGTTCCTCAAGACAGACGCCTCCCATGAAAACGAACAAGTTGTTCTCCTGCTAGCTTTGGCTTCATGTGGCAGAGATTGAGGGAAACGGGGATTTAAGTAAGATAAGTTTCTTCCTCACGTAAAAGTTAGAACTGGTATGGTAGCTCTGTCCCATTGGCATCAGGGCACCAAGCAGCCTTCTTGCTGTCATCCCTAGGGAGTTGCCTTTGTTCTCAGGACCAAAGTGATTTACCCCTCAATCTGTCAGTACGTCACACATCACTTTCACTTAGCATCCATGGGTTACATCTGCTTGAAAAGAGACCGGCAATTATATTCTGTATCTAGGTGACTATATACCTCAATGTAAGTCAGAGGTGGGAAAGAAGGGAAAAGTAGATATTGAGGATTTACTAGCAGTTGCTGCCATGTTGGCTTACATGTTTTGTTTTGTTTTTTTTAAGATTTATTTATTTATTTATACAGAACTGGGGTACAAGCCAGAGATGCGGAGGGTGAGAGGATTCACCAGAGACAGAGTGGGGAGCAGAACAGGCAGATCTACGAAGTACACTGCTGAGGGGAGCAGCGGGCAGGCCAGGAGAGGTCTGCCACGCCATGTGGATCTCCTCCGGGGCAGGCGGGGATCAAACTCATGCTGCAGTGGCTTTAGCTTCTTAGTGCTGTGCTTTAACCCGCTGCGCCACCAGGGAGGTCCCAGCTTACATGTTTTATAGTTACTGTTTTATTTTTTTAAGGAATCACTATTTTTAATAATTTTCATATTTTAAAATAGCTTTAGACTTACAGAAAAATTGTGATAATACAGAGTTCTCTTATACTCCACAACCAGTTCCCTCTATTAACATCTGAGACTAGCATGTCACATTTGTCACAACTCATGAACAAATATTGATTCACTATTATTAACTGAAGTTCATCTTTTATTCAGATCCTGGCATTTTTTCCTAATTTCCATTTTCTGGTTCAGGATACCACATTCCACTTAGTCATGGTGAGGTTCCAGCCAGCTGTGATCTTTCTCAGGTGTTCCTTGTTTTTGATGACCCTTGACAATTCTGCAGGGGTGATGGTCAGATGTTTTGCAAAATGTTCCACAACTGGAATTTGTCTGCTATTCTCCCCATGATTAGACTGGGGTCGTGCATTGTTTGTGAGGAAGACATCAGAAGTGAAGTGCCACTCCCACGTCCTATGAAGGGACATTCCTAGCACCTGACTAGTATCGGTGATAGTGTTTGTCTAATTTTCTCCCTCTCTAAATTGGTAGTACTGTTGGGAAAGAGGTTGTTACTTCCCACAGTCCACACTTAAGGACTAGGAGTTAAGTTCTACCTCTTCAAGGACAGGGTTTCTAGCAACTATTTGGAATTATTTATCTATCTTTCTCATTTAAGGCTTCAGTCCATCATTTATATAAGTATGGACCATTGATATTTACTTTATATTTTGGTTTATAATGCAGATGTCCTTTTTTGTTGTTGTTGCTCAAAATGTTCTCGTTTTGGCCACTGGGAGTTCTTTCCATGGGCCCCTCTGTCTCTATGACATACCCCTGTCTGTGGTTTTGAAAAATTTTTGATACACTTCCTTAATTTCTGAAACTACAACATACTTCAGGCTCAATTTGTATATTTTCTGCCCTAGACTTGGAATCAGCCATTTCTCCAAAGAACCCTGGTCCCTTTTACCGGGACATGGTCTAGAATCTGGATTCTAGGTATGGTCAGCGCTTCTGGGTATCCTGGCGTCTAGGCATCTCAGCTGGCAGAAGGTACCTCTGTCTATACATAACACTGAGAATATTTAGATATGTCACCACCTGTATTTCTGTTAAGCCAAATGTGAGTTCATACCACTGTCTCCTATTCCGTTCTACCCACGTGGGTCCTCCTATGGGTCTCTACCCCTTGCTGATCTGTAAACTCCTGTCCCATCTGTGAGAAGCCATCCACTTACTGAATTATTCTGTTGCAGCAAACACAGCAGGTCAGAACGGTTGCAGCTGCATCAATGAGTGCATGATGCTTACGTGCGGTTCCTTTTGCCTTTAGTCGCGGCTGTCTCTTCAGAGTTACTCAGGTCAGCATCATTTTTCCCAATTTTCCCCTAATTTTTGTCTTGACCTCTAGATTTTCCTTTCAGAAAATGGGGTGGAGACTATAATATGACCACTGAAATAAAAATTGTAATTGTATATAGGCAACAAACTGGAAGGGAAAAAGACACTGAATGTGGGTTCTAGTTAAAACCATTCAGAATTCCTAAGCCTTCCCCTTGAAGCAGGATATAAATATAAACTCAAAGAAACACAGGAGGCTGGCAGGGATTTCAGTGGTATGAGGTATTTGAGCTTCCCTTTTCTTTGTTTTGAAGAAGCAAAGGCAACCTTAGCCACCTTACTCTCACTCCTACCAACACTTATAGTGAAAAGGAATTAGTCCATTATATTAATATCTTAAGACCCTGCCAGAGAAGCTCTACCTCTAAACATGTTCTGTTCATCTCATAAATTTCCTATATGTTAGGCCTTCAGCGTCCAGTTTGATAGCACCTTACCATGCTTCTCACCACATACCTCATAATATAAATTTAAATTGATTTAAGTGAAGTAAAATTAATATTTCAGTGCCTCAGCCACATTACCCATATTTCAGATACTATGTTCGACAGTGCAGATATAAAACATTTCTGTTGCTGCAGAAATTTCCATTGGACAGCACTGTGTTAGCAGAGTCAAATTGAAGACTATGTTAGCTTCTGAGCTTCCCAGGATAGTCCTTTACCATCCTGAATGTATACTCTCCATATTAATAATGAAAAGAAACTCTCCTTAACCTACTGATAGGTTGCTATTTTCTTGGGAAGAGCTGCCAATATTTACCCCTTGTCCCTCTTACTCAATTTGGGGAGAAGAAGTAAGATTGGATCAAATTTTCAACATATGATGATGTTTGCTGGTAAGTTGTATTTTTCCCTCTTTTTGTCCACTCCATGAAATCTTTGACAATGTATATGTCAGCTTGATATCAAATGGGATCATTGCTAATATAGGACTTACTTCAACTTTAAAGTTACAACCTCCAGCAGAAAACTATTTTTATAGTGTCCCATTCCCTTCTGAGATTTTTGTGTTCTGGTTCTAAATCCACGGTCCATAGAATGGGGAAGATAAAGATGAATGCATTTTTTGCACAATAACCTGTGTGTGCCTGTTTATGGCAATTCTGTTCAAATTGCCCAAACCTGGAAACAACCTAACGGTCTGTCTTCCAGTTCATGAACAAATGAACGGACTGTGGTACATCCAGGCCATAGAATATTAGTCCTAGAAAGAGTAAACTATTGATGCACACAGTAACTTGGATGAACATCATGCTGAAAGAAGTTGGTCCTAAAAGGTTGCATAGTTTATGATTCCATTTGTGTGGTCTCCTGAAAATGACAAATGCATAACGATAGAGAACAGATCTGTGGCTGCTGGGGTTTGGTGGGGTGACAGAGAGGCTGGACTAAAACGAGGTAAGCAGCACAGAGGAATTGGGAGCAGGGTGGAGATGAAACCAACTGTGTCTGGCTGTCTTGGTCGCAAGCCTCTGCATCTGTCAAAACTCATAGACCTGTACGTCAAAACAAGTGAATTTAACATGAATTTAAAAATGAAGTTCCAAAACTTGTTAGAAGGTCAGTGCATATCACCATCATCTGCTGGTTACCTCCTTGTGTATACTTGTGTACGCTGGTGTGTCTCGTCTTGGCTCACACGGTTCTGAGTTCTCGGAGTGCGCCTTCCCTCTCTGACTTTACCCACATTGGTAGCAGCTTGTTGAAGAACTCCCTCTTCTCTTCCTTGTAGGCCTGCGCGGCGCCATGGCGTTCGCCTTGGCCATTCGTGATACTGCCACTTACGCAAGGCAGATGATGTTCAGTACCACACTGCTGATTGTGTTTTTCACTGTGTGGGTATTTGGTGGTGGCACCACTGCCATGCTGTCGTGCTTGCATATAAGGTAAGTAGTGACTACAAGCCTGCTGTTAAATTCCAACTCAAGTTACTTTTCTTTGACCCAGGAGAAAATTTTAAGGTTTGAAAAGCATACGGTGTTTCATTTTTTCCTTTTCAAGATGCATAATATGGAATATAGCAAAATGGAAGCAAAAGAAATGAATGCAAAAGAAAAATAAGAATTATTGTTAATTATTGAGGGATGTCTTTCTAAACCTTTTGCTGTGTACTTTCAACAACAAAGGGGAGATGTTACAGGTACACTTATAAACTGAATTTTAAGTGTCATATAGCATGGACGTGTATGGTAGACGTATGTTTGTATCATTATCTTACGATCTATTTAATCAAATCCCTGTTATTGAACTGTTTCTAGGATTTTGCTATTACTGCCAGCATTTGAGGATTGTGCTATGACCATAACCATTAACAATGTGAATATCTGTAAATGTATATACCACTGTGCACTTATTTCATCATCTCCTCAGGATGCATTTCTAAAAGCAAATTGCTTGGCCAAAGGATATGCATATATCTAAGGCTTCGATTCATATCATCAGATCAGATCAGGAATTTTTCTTCTACCTACAGCATGAAACAGTACAGTTTATCCTAACCCTAATTATAATAGATTTTATTATTCTTGCTCATTTTTATGATCAGCACTGTTTCTATCCTGACAGTCAAGGGCTAAAATTGGAGGTCTTCATCTGAAATGCGCACTAGTTCACATATTCCATTGGAAAGTGCGCTTCTAGTTCGGGTGCTGCAATTGTTTCCATGGATACAGTGACTTGTGCTGCGAAAGCCTTTGTCCATTTAGTTCTGTTTGGCTGCAACTTCACAGACATGAAATGCTACTGGGCTTCCAAAATGTGTAGTGTTCATTAGAGAAAACAGTATTTCACATTTTCTAGAATTCATTCTCCACTTTTTCATTATACCTTTCTTTCAACATCTTAAAGACCAGCCAGGCCTACATCACACATTGAATGTTATGCTTGTCTTTATCTCTTTATTGTTCAGTTCCCTTTCTTACAATTCTGTGCTGTTATTGTATGTAATAGGAGATGCACACAATTGATGTTCTTATAATCCTGATTATTCTTTCAAGGAGGACCTGGCATTTGTTGAGCACCTACTATGTGCTGGGCATTGTGCTAAGTGCATTTTATATTTATCTCATCACAGTGGCATCATTTTACAAGGGAGGAAATGGAGGCTTCAAAAGTTTCTGAATTGTTCAAAGTCATGCAAAAAATTTATGGTGGACAGAGGAGCCTCCTGTTTCACCTGATTTCTTCTAGAGCTTGTTGCATTACAAAATGAGGGTGGTAGGTTAAATTTGGGAAGGTTTAAACTCTAAGAGCTTATAAAGGAAGACTCGTCTTTATTCTGCTGAGAACAAAATTAAATGTAAGCTAATTTAAGAAAAATAATATACTTCAATGGAGTATCAATGTTTAAGTAGATTCAGTTCTCTTCCCTAACTTCCCACCACACAAACCAGACAAAATACCCACCTGTCCCCACTCCAGCCCCCCAGAGCGAAACCACAATGACGTGTTTAAGGTCCAATCCACCCTACCGTCTGAGTAAGCTCTTTGGCCGCATCTTGCCTGGCTTGTTGGCACTACTCTATGTACTACCTTACCATCTTAGATGAATTCTTTTAGTTAGGTTTTTTTTTTTCCACCTTTTTGCAGAGACTTGCTTTTATGTTTCTTTTTCCTACCCCCACCCCCAAATTTGTCTAGTATAGTTTTGGTGATACAGGTAAGTCCTTAATATTCACGCAGACTTAGATGACTTTGACTTCTTGCTCCTTCATTTACTGATTCTGTGAGCTTGGACAAGTTCTGTAACCTTTTAAGCCTCAGGTTCCTCGTTTGTCTTAGTGTGGTGGTGGTAGTAGAAGTAGTAGTAGTAGCAGCAGCAGCAGCAGTAATGTGTGAGTGTGTATGTGTGTGACAGAGTGAGAGTATCTACCTCCCAGGGTTGTTGTAAGGATTCAGTGAACTAATGTCTGCAGAACTCTTACACATCATTTTACATTTTACATTTTACATTTACATGTGCCTTTTATTCATTCATTCAATAAGTACTGATTGAGTGCTAAATACCAGTAAGTGCCAAGTACTGTTGTAAGCTCTAACTTAGTGGTTCTCAACTGGGGGTGATTTTGTCCCCTACCCAAGGAACATTTGGCAGTGTTTGGAGACATTTTTGATTGTCACAATCAGAGAAGGGAGCTGCTACTGGCATATAGTTGGAAGCTCAGGATACTGCTGAAACATCCGCTAGTGCACAGAACAGCCCCCACAGCAAAGAGCGCTCTGGTCCAAAATGTCAGTGATGCTAAGGTTTAGATACCCTGCATTAGAGATGCCCAATGGTAGTAGCCTGCTAGAAAAGGCCCCCGGTTTCATAAACCTGTGGAAGGAGACAGACAACAGACAAAAAAAAAAAATGTAGGTGACAATTTCTTTCCAAGATGACAATTTTAGATAGTATTAAATGCTATGGTGACAGATAGCGTACTATGTTACTGACTGGGGCTGAGGTGTGTTTTACATGCAGAAGCCAAGAAAGAGTTTTGTAAAGTTACATTTTATCTCAGTCTACCTGAATAACAAGATACTGTGTTAAGACAGTGATCAGAAAATGGAACTCTCCTGGTAGAGGAGCAAGCAAGTGCAGAAACACACTTGGCCTGTTTAATGAACAGAGAAGGGTCCTTGGAGCTGGAATAGAGTGATTAAAGGGTAGGCAGGAAATGAGAGCAGTAAGATCCTGTAGGCACGGAAGTTGGCATCCTGGAAAGGGCCAGACAGTAAATAGTGTAGACATTGCTGTTGGTCTCTGTCTCAGGTACTCAACTCTAATATGAAAGCAGTGAGCCACAACCAGTAGTAAATCAGTTGGTGTGGCTGTTTTCCAGCTGTTTGTGAATGCTTTATTCACAAAAACAGGAGGTGCACCAAGTGGGCCTGTGTGGGGGCCATCGTTTGTTGCACCCCACTTTCAGGTATTGTAACACAGAGTAGGGAGTTTGGATTTTAAAATTCAGTTGGAAATCAGGTAGGATTGTAAAGCAAGGGAGTGATGTGATCTATTTTATGGTGTAAAAGGTACATCCAGGTATGGTGTGGACTGCGGTTCCTCTGTGGGTTAGACCAGCCAGCTAACCCTTCCTACATCCTTTTACCTAGTTTGTGACAGTCACATTTGGCTCCCTGACTCTTACCTCACACACTTTGTCCTTTTCCACCTCCTTTGCTCATACTATTTACTCTGCCTGGAATTCTTGCACGTCCAGGAAATGACACAGCTCAGATGCCTCCTCCTTGTGGCCTCTTCTCGTCTGTCAGAACCACTCATCCATTTGCTGAGCGTCGGGTATCTTTATTACAGCACTTATTTCAGTCAGCCCTGTAATAATCTTGCTACAACAGCTTCCATTTAGTGATTGTTAATGAAGTGTCTGACACTTTTAAAATCTCCCGATACATTTTCTCATTTAATCCTTACATCAACTCTGTATGGTGGGTATGAGCCCCTCTTCCTAGTGATAAAATAACAGTTCACCGGAGTGCCTAACTTGACTAAATTCACAACTGTATAGGAGCTGAGGTCAGGTTGGAACCCAGCTCTGCCTGATCACCAACCACTGGGGGATTGCACCCTAGTTATGTCTGTCCCCCCCACTAGTCTGTGAGCTCCTAGAGGGCAGGGGCCATGTCTAATTCATGTCTATGCCCTGTGCCTAGCGCAGTGCCTGGCGGGTAATAAGTGCTCTGTAAATGCTCACAGTTTGCCTTAATGTTCCATGTATTGCAAATGTGCTATTTCCAAGACCACTAGGTGTCACTTTAGATGCACAAATGTGGTTCAGTGGATATTAACTAGCTTCTGCCCATTTTAACAGAGAAGAAATGAACCTTTTCTTTGAGTTTTGAATCAGTCATGACCATCTGCTTTTAAATGCTTGACCATGATTCATTTGCCTTCCAGATGAGGTCATGCAACATTTTCCTCCCTTTGGTGTTATTCAGATTCTGGGCTGCTACTGCTACAGCTTCTCACACTGCTATTTTTTTCTGTGTTGTCTGTAGTAGTGACCTTAATCGATAAACATTTGAGCACCTATTGTGTGTCAGGTACTGTGCTAGACTCTGGGGATACAGAGATGAATTGAGACATGGCCTTTACCCTCAAGGAGCTCACACTCTATTTGGGGAGACTGACAGGTAAATAACTATACTCTACTGTGCTAAGTATTGTAATAAAGGAATCTAGAAAGTGCTATCAAAACACTGAAAAAATGATTGTGCTTAAAACAGGTTCTAGAATGTTTCACTTGGAACTTGAAAAAGGAGTAGAAAAAATGATAGAAGGAATAGCTTTGGAGAAGGCACAGAAACTCGGGAGAGGACAGAGATTTGGGACAGGGAATTGGGGAGATGTTGTGGGGCATGGCTACTCTAGGATATGGAGGCTCTCCACATGGGAAATGAAGGTGGGAGCATAGGTTGGAGTGTTGGGAGGCACTAGTTTATGGGGTCTTGAATGTCACACAAAGGACTTCAGACCTGACCCTGGGTTGTAAGCTACTGCCAGAGTCTTTTGTCAGGGGAGTAGCCCATTGAGTTGCATGGCTTGGCCAGCTAATGCTAGGGGAAGCCCTGGCAGCTGGAGAGCCTTCTAGCCAGTTGCCACAGACCGCAAGAATCAGTAGGACTCTGTGAGTAGTTGATATGTAAAGCAGAAAAGATATGAGGGAAGCTTTAGAGGATGAACAGAGTTGGTAAGTGCTCATGTGCAAGAGATAAAGAGGAATCAAAGCGACCTTGTTCATAATGAAGCTGTTCCTGTGAGACAGAGCCCATGAATGTTAAGCAGATAAAGAAGAATGATGAAGAACCAAGGCTGAGTCGACTCATTAGCCTATGAAAAAGGCCAGCAATTAGACCTGTCTCCGGTGTCCTGATAGACCAGTAGCTCCCTCTTGGAGTCGCCCTGTGCCAGCCTGGTTTGTGTGACCACCCAGCAATCCTGTTGGTTAACTGGAGCATCATTGCTTTCCTCCCTGTGCTTATAATGGGCAGCTGTTCAGAGAAGAAAAGGTTGTTATTATTACTGTATTTTGAACCTGGTAAGCAGGAAGGCAGGAAGAGAACCATTAGTAGGCCCTGTTCACCTTAGGACCCAGGCCATTGCTAAGAAAAGTGTCAATGCCATAGAAGTGAGAAACCATTAGAAGTGAGAAACCATTACTAGTCCACAGTGTCTCACGTTGAGAAAAGTAGTTGGTTGATAATGTACACGTGTGACCAGGCCTTGTTCTGGCTTCCAGATCTCACTTGCTTTTTGTGTTTTTCCTTTAGGGTTGGTGTTGATTCAGACCAAGAACAGTTGGTAAATATGCACTTGTGTTGTCTCTGACATTTCTGTCCAATGTGCAGACACTTGGAAAAAACAATCTACATAGACTCCATGCCACTCGTGCTTAGATCTTGTCCTGCTCGCATCATCTGTTAAACTGACATCATTCCTGGCTTGTATCACTGCTCAGTAGAGACAAAACCAAGCTGGAGACAACCTGTGGTTATCAAGGGTGACAGCTCTCCTACCTGTGGGCCAAGCTGGGCTTTGGCCACAGAGCATGGCACTGTCTCAGGCACTTGTGTGTTTTCAAGGGACATCCTGGCACAGGGATCCTTTTTCCACTTGGGTTTGCGTATGGAGACTTGTGTCTGATGTAAGCCCCACTCCAGCTGCTCTTCCTGTGTAACTTTCAAATTGGATGACCAGCAGCTGCCCTTGAGAACTGCCTGAAAGCTTCAAAATCTTCTAGATTCTTTCTGCCTGCTCTGGAGAAGGCACTTTTTTCCAGGTGTCACTTGTTGGGCTGTTCTCAGAACCTCAGCCTTAGATTGAATACAGTGGAACCAAGTGTCCTCTCTAGGTCACTGCTTCCTGGCATGCCCCATGTGTGTTTTCCTGATTTTAAACACCACTATGTGACTTCTTCCTAGACACTAAATGGGAAATCACAAAAATTAGGGTTTTGAAGATACAACAGAATCTCTTTCCAACCAGCATTGGTCTATTTGTCTTCAGGGTGTGGTTCAAAAAACCATTTATCAGATTCATTTCCTAAATGCTAGTTCTGCCAGCTGTCGAGTGATGTGATATAGTAAGTACTTGGCTCTTTTGTGGTCAGAACCTTAAAGTATAATTCCATGGGCTTGAAATACTCATCCAAACCAGAATGGATTAATCCCTATGATGCCAAACTGCTGGGGTTGGGTCTAAGGGGCACAGCTCCTCAAGGCCTCCACCCCCATATCCAGATAAGAATAAAGTGACCATACAATTGCCCTGACAGATCACCATCTGCATGTGTAGATGGTCCCCTCATCACAGAGGAGAGAACTGGGCAGGCAAGTCCCACATACCCTTTCCCTTTGTCCTCAAAACCCAATGGATGTTTTGGTCTGTGTTGTTACATTGTTGATTCAGTGCTTTCTCTATAGCAAGCACGGAGGGGGTAGAGAGAGGGTGTACAGCTGACCATGTACTGAGAAGATGCATTGATTTAATAGATTTGTTGCTCTTCAGGAAGTAGAGACATAAACCTGTGCCCACCAGTATGACAGGAAACACAGGAGGTTTTTTGGCTACTGTAAGCCTGTACAAAGAGTTTTCTATGTGATAGAGGTTGAAGGGGGGAAGAGTAATTTATTTTGAGGAGCAGGAAGGGACCACAACCCAGAACCTAAAGCCTGTATTCTTTGAAAATCATGGAAATACAGAATATTCATGCCCGAAGGGGCCTTCGAGATTCTCTAACCTCATATTTGAAACGTGAAAAAATTAAGACCCAGAGAAGCAAAGGGACTTGCCCAGCTAGTGGGCGTCAGAACAAAGGCTGGAATCAGACCCCCAAGCTGCCCCACCGGGTCAGATTACCAAGCATGGCGGAGGTGTGCTTGGGGAAGTGGTGTCGTCTACGAGGCCTGCTTGCTATGTAAGCTTTCCCTCCTGGCCACTCAGGCTGACCATGGAAGTTCCCTACGTGCTTTCCTCTTGCTGGTGTTCCCAGACACAGTAACACCTGTGAGAAGTCTAGTTATTTGAGGGACCTGTGACAACACTCAAAGATAGGGATATTGATGTGATAATTTCTATTTAAAGTACCATTCACATTGTGGGGGTAAGTCAGATTTGAAGGAGGAATTATTCCATGTTGATTTTTTAAAATATCAGCAGACTCATAAATCAGCAAGCAGACTGAGTAATAGAGGTATTCAGAAGGACATTCAATTTCTTATTCCCAAACTGTGCTATATAAGCTAGTAAATTTCTAATGTGACCCATTTTGGAAAGTGGTAGACGACTTTTCCGATCCTACAAAGAAACGACTATATAAATGTGTTTTTATCTTGGTGTCTGTTTTTGATTTATTTATTATCTGTTTGCAGGGTATTCCTGAAAATGAAAGAAGAACTACCAAAACAGAGAGTGCCTGGCTTTTCCGGATATGGTACAACTTTGATCATAAGTATCCTTAATTAGGGAGAAAATGGTAGTCTATGCAAGGACAATTACAATTTAATGGCACAACTGTTTGAACTATCCCCATTCTGAAATGGGATATAAAGCCTACCTCTGGCCTTCCCTCTCCCCTTCAACACAGTAGAGAATGTTTTTAAAAGAAACCCATAGAAATGGAGTCCTCTGCAAACCCACGAGACCAGTAGAGTCTGGTTATTGCAAAAGCTGGCTGCGTGAAGGGATTCAGGAGTCCTCAGCATAGATTTCCTTTGATATATAGGTTTAATATGGAGCAAACCTTAATATTTATTGTCCTTTGGCTAATTTAGTGAATTTTGCAAGAGGTGTTTATTGGTTGCTGTCAGCGTCCTTGCTGGGGTCAAAGAGGAAAGGCTGCCTTCGGAAAAAGCATGAGAATAAAATAAAAATGCACTACAATGTGGTGTTAGATACCACCGGTAGTCAAAATGGTGGGCCATTTTTCTCTGACCTTTGCAAAGACTAGGAGAATCCCCTTTGTATTCTGAATACCAGTATTTTGTTGTTTACCAAATTTCTCTTTTGTCCTGTTGTAACTGTCTTCTTCATAGTTCTGTTCTGGGTAGTATTATATTATGTGACCTGTTTAAATCATGTCTTTAAAAAAGCATATTTTTACTTCTTACTAAAAGTCACCTTTTTTAAGATTTTTTTATGCATACAGAACTGGGATACAGGCCAGAGGTGTAGGGGCAGTGAGAGGAATCACCAGAGGCAGAGTGGGGAACAGAACAGGCAGATCGATGAAGAACACTGCTGAGGGGAGCAGCAGGTGGGTCAGGAGAGGTCTGCCACGCCATGTGGGTCACCTCCGGGGCTGGGGTTTGAACTTGCACTGAGGCAGCCACGCCAGCTTCACAATGCAGTGCTCCAACCCACTGCGCCACCAGGGAAGACCTAAGCTTCACTTCTTATTTGAAAATTTAATTAGAAGAACGAACCATGGAGTTCTTTCAGATTGAGACTTAACAGTTAATTCACAACCTGGGCCCTCCCTGATGGTGCAACAGGTTAGGACACAGTACTGCAAGCTAGCTGTAACTGCTTCAGTGCTAGTTCAATTCCTGCCCCGGAGGTGACCCACATGATGTGGCAGACCTCTCCTGACCACCCATTGCTCCCCTTAGCAGTGTACTTCGTCAATCTGCCTGTTCTGCTCCCCACTTTGTCTCTGGTGAAGCTTCTCATCGCCCCTGCACCTGTGGCTTGTACCCCAATTCTGTATGAATAAATAAATAAATCTTTAAAAAAAACAGTTAATTCACAACCTTCTTTGGGGTGCATTGAAGCAAATCTGTAATAACCATGTAAACAACTTTGCTTTGCTTTCAACTTTCCCATCAGAACATTGTATATAGTTAAGATACACTTCACACTCATCATCAGAAGCTACCCCATACTAAATTCTGTTTGCTAGATTTTCACATGCACTTTTTATAAGTATTCAAAATTGAATTACTGTATGGGAACAAGAATGCAAGTATTTTTATGGTATTACGAGAGAGAGAGATCCTGGCTTCTCAGAATTGTTTAATGATTGTGTCATTATGTTGGCTCCATTATTAGCATTTTTGACATAAGCCTCTTCCATATCCCTTGGGGCATTTTTTTTTTGATCCCACTGATTTAACAAATATTTTAGTGGTGCCTGTATGAAATGTTTTGTGCTTTTTCTGCATAACATACAGATGATTCTAATGTAGAGAAACAATAGAATGGCTGGTTGTTTATAATACAATTAAACAGCAAGACTTGTTTGACTTAAGACTACCTTGTTGAGTACTGCTAGACTAGAGCCTGGTAACTTTTTTACCTAGCACTCTAGTAGAGTTAATTATTAATTGCTCTAGATGGCAGTTCCTTTGTGTAGCCAGATTGTTTTCTATCAGTGAGATATAATTTAAACACAGTAAAGTATACAAATCTTAAGTGTAACCTATGTATATAGCGGTGTGCCTGCCACCCATGTAAGGATGTATAGGACACTTCTGGCACCTCATAAGGTCCCTTGTGTTCTCTTGCAGTTACTTCCCCATCCTTCTCAAAATGGGTAACCCCTATTTTGATTTCTATTAATACTAATTTGTTTCACCTGTTTTTGATCTTCATATAAATCTGATTGTATATTATATATTATTTTCTTGCTTCTTTCAGTTAACACTGAATTTTATTCATATTGTTTCCTATATGTTATGCATTCTTTTTCATAGCTGTATAGTGTTCCATAGCATAAACACTGTCTTGTATTGATTGATGATGTGTTGATCTACCAGTAGGCTACATCAGCTAGCCTGGGTATGTAGTAAACTATACCATCCACGTTTGTGTAAGTATACTCCATGACATTCATACAATGACAAAAAAATGCCTAACTACACATTTCTCAGATCATTTCCCTATTAAGTGAGGTTTTGTTATTTTCAACCATTCTATTGTTGATAAGCATTTAGCTTGTTTCCATCTTTTGGTTATTACCAATAATACTAGACATTCTTGTGTCCATCTTTTGGTGAACATAAGCATTCATTTCTCTTGGATATATATTAGGAGAATTTAGGGCAGGTGTACATTGACCTTTAAGAATTCACACCCCCCACTAGCAAGATCAGGGAATTCCAGTTGTTCTACCTCTCCACCCAAATCTTGGTATTTTCCAGCCTTTTAAAGTTTAGCCTTTTCGGTAGGTGGTGGTGTGCCACTTCATGTGGATTTATTTTGTGATAATCTGTTAGGTCGACCATCCTTTCATATGTTTCTTGGTTAGTCTTTATACCCTCATTTGTAGTGTGTGTGTTTTTTCTCATTATTTGAGTTGTCTTACCTTTTCTTACTGGTTTGTAGTTCTGTCTGTATTCCTGAAATAGGTTCCTTTGTTGGCTATATGCATTGTGAATATCTTCTCCCAGTCTGTAGCTTCTTTCCATTTTCTTAATCTCATATTTTGAGAAACAGATTTCTTCTTTTTTA